TTGTAGGCTCGGCGGGCGAGGGCGCGCGGCGGGGGATGGGCGTTGACATCTCCCTGCTGAGCTGCCAGTACTTCCTGGCGCAGATCCTCGTGGCCCTGGCCATGGGGCCGCTGACGGCAGCTGTGGGCAGCGCCAGCGGTGCCATGTACTTCGCCAGCCTAGTGTCCTTCCTGGGCTGTCTCTTCTCCTCCCTCTGTGTCACCTACGAGTCGCCGGCCACCGAGGAGCTGCCACCCACTGAGGAGCAGCGCCCGCTCTTGCCTCGTGCACGGAATGAATAAATGGGAGAAGCCGCCACAGCCTCAGCTGCCTCATTGCGTCACCCTCGGCCTCCCCATCGTGGCGTGGTGGGCTCATGCACCCCCGGGACGGCAGCAGTGGGCATGGCAAATGGTGAGAAGGTCTGCACTGGCTTCGCCGAGCTTTCCTCTGCCCGTGGGAGAGTGAGGGGTGAGTTGGCAGCGCCCAGCACCCGCTTATCCTTCCCCTGTGGCAAAGGCCCGTCTGTGCCCCCAGGGCCACAGCAAGAGGAAGCAGTGATGTCAGTGTGGGGCCATTCCCGCAGCTGCCCCACGGTGCCATCATTCCCAGGGGGACAAGTGGCACTGTCCGGCCTGAGGCAGGGGACCCGGAAGTCTGGTGCCCAGGCAGGGTGACCACGATCACTCGGGTGGCAGCAAGCTGCCAGGCTGCACACGCTGCTGCGGGCACTGCCACTGTGGGAGCACTGGGGCCTTGGCGCTCCGCCAGCTTTGTGGGCAGAAGGTGCCATCTCACAGCCAGGCAGAGCGGCCCAGTCTTCTGTCTCCAAGGGCAGCCGTGACTCCCATGAGGCCTTGAGGAGCGGCGGGGCCAACCTGCAGGTCCCAGCCTCTGCCCCTGGTAGGCCTGGCTCTGGAGGGTGCTTTTCAAAACTTTGGAAGGGCTGAGAGCGAGTAGTCTTGCTTGGCTGGCATAAGTACTTTGTCAAGTGCCGTGGCCGGGCTCCTGGGTGCACACAGCTCCCACCAGCAGAACTGCTCCAAGAAGCCACTGTGGGGTGAAACCGCAGCGGCCTGGCTCCCAAACCCTGCTCTGTAGGTTCTGGCTGTGGTCGACAGTGATGGTTGCCAATACATGTGTATTTCCTTCCACATTAGGCTTTTAACTAAGACTACGAGGGCTTGTGATGACTTAGCAGGAGGATGGGCAGTTGTCCGTAACCCAGCTTTGGGGAGAAGGGTCTTCTTGGGTCAGCTTCCTTTGGGTAGAAGCTTACTCTCAAAGTTAAGTTGAGAATTTCAGAAAAATAATCCATGTTAAGTACATCGTCCTTGTTTTCCATAGCTGTACCTTGTGACATTTTAAAATCTGCATGGGGATCAGTGATTAAGTACTTGTCAGATAGAGCTGCATCTTCCATATCTCATTGAAACTAGTAAAAGGGCTTTGGGTTTCATTATCTGTGAGAATTCTTAATTATTCTGATTTTGGAAGGTGGTAAATGTGTGAGATCTTGTACAAGTTCCAGTTAAGCCCAGGAGTCTTTCAAGTCTTGAGAGCAAAACTCTCAAGAAAACAGAAATAAAGTTAAAACTGTTTCTAGGATTTCTGTCAGCCTGCCTCCGTATTTGGGTAGGCAGCCAAGGTTTATGAAGGCTGATGGGCATTTTGGTGTTTACATGTGCTGTGCATGGCATCCCTGTAGAGGTTATTTTTGCTCACCTGGTCTTTAGGTCCAGAAGTAGGGTTTTCTCTGGGGGGGTCGCTCATTTAAAAGGAGTTGTACTTGACTGTTAACCTAGGTTTATTCTGATGCTTGATCTATGATACCAAGAAGAAATAACTTGTGTAATCTTCAGCTGTTGTGGCTTACTATAGCTGAAAGCATAATGCACAACTTTTAAGAACCTCTCATTTTTATCATCCATCCCTGAGTTTTACTTTACCGTCTGTCCCCAAGTATTACTTTTTTTAATTTGAGAAGCAAGTTTCATGCTACTCAGTATTTATTTAAATGGAGGAACACTACTGAAGTTATGGAGTCAAGCATTCAGAGGTAAAGGACTGTCACATTGATGAGTCTATTCATCTTTCTTTTCTTTCTTTGGGCTTATGTGGTATCATATCTGCAGGAATACCTGTGACGTGCTGTTTCCTTGATTATGGGACAGCTGTCTCCAAGAATGTTCAGGATGAAGATGGAACAAAATAGCATGAGAAACTGTATGTTTGGCGCTTCTGATTTCTGACAATCTAAAGACTTGACTTTGGAGAATTTTTCTTTTCTTGTTGGCCCACTGTGTAACCTTAGTTTCTCTTCCTTACCTTTTCAAACTTTTAAAGTAAAAAATGTTTTGTTTTTTTTTGGTCCTACTAGCTAATGCGGTACTAGTTCTTAAAATGTTTTCTCCTCTAAGTTTTGTAGCCAGCATTATTGCACTAAACGGATCATGAGCACTTTCCTTTTCTAAGTAGCTGGAGTTGCAGATCATTTTGTTGCAAGCGAGGATCTTCAAAAGATTCATAGAACTGATGAAATCAATGTATTTGATGGTAATGTTTGTTCCTGCTTCCATCTGTAAATAATTTTATGAAATACATTTATATAGTTAAAAAACTATTGCTATGCCTGTATGCATTGTCTAATAGAATATATATTACATTTTCTATTTTATGGGATATGAACTTTATTTTGCATATGTATTTATGTAGTGTTTACACACATAGGACTTTTAAGTGAACATCAATGTATGTTAATTTGGGGCTTTGAGCAATATTGGTGGTGTCTGGAAAAAACCTAGAGCCTGCCACCATCATGCAGAGTTGGAAGTCACACCAAATCCATAGAAATAACTTAAAAAAGAGGCATTGCTTACTTGCTTATTCTCTTCCTTTGTTATACATTTTGTGTTTTACAGAAATTACTGTATGTGGTCACTATTGAACTGTGAGCTGCAAAGTGATGTTTACCTTTTGGAATCAAAACGCTTCAAATATTGTGTCTAAATCTGCAAGCTGCTGTTTAGAAGATGCATGAGTTTAGGCAGGAAAGTGTTTTTATGCCATGCTGTAGTTTAATCTCTTCAGCAGTGCCTAAAGGTTAACTTCGATTAAGTCCTTATCATTAAAGGTTGCTTCACGGCAATTATTTGTGGATGTTCATAAATGTATTTATAACACATGTACGGAAGTAGGGAAAATGGGGAGAGGGACAGAGAAAGCACCTAATCGATTGTCTCATGTTTGTAATTAAGCTAGCTGTAACCATTTCAGCGTGTGTCTGCAGTTGACTCAACCTCTGCCGTGTCTCTCAAAAAAGACAACCTAACAATTCTGGAATTTCTGCTGTATCTTTGAATGAAGAAATTAAGTCTTTTCAAGACTCAAATAAAATAAAATCACATGACTGTATATATAAAAAAAGAAAAGCTATATTGGGAACTATTTGAAAAAAGTTGTCTAGACAATTTATTTTCTACTAACAAGTAGTTAGTCATCTTGTACTCTATAGGAGATGCACTTAATTTTATTAAAAAAAGAATTTGTCTTCCGGTAAAAGGTGGCTTTCTTCATGTATGTTCTCCCTCCTAGACTAGAAGATGGCTTTAGCGAGAGACTTAGCTGCCATTACCATAACAACACCCAATGGATTGCATTAAGTACAATAAACATCTCGAGAATTCTATGACTACTGGAGCTTAAATGCCAAGGGAGATCTCCAGCATCCGTTTAATTTATCTCAATTGACATTTTCCATACCTCTGGTTGTTAAGACATCACGATTCATTTAGCCTAGCTTTTCTGCTGGGAAGGTTTTTGTTGATGTTCACTAAGGAAATGGCTGCACCAACTTTCCATTGCTGTTCCTCTGCCCCACGCTGCTGCTGCTGTAGCAGGGTCAGTAGAAGGGAAGGTGCTAGTGAAAGTGGGCCTGCATTTAGGGTGGCAAATTTCAGGCTGCAACACCCAAGACAACAGCAAAAGCTGTAGGGCAGCAGTGCCAGGATAGACTAGAGGTCTTTTACTAGAATCCTTAGTTTTCTTGGTATTGCCATCCATGGTGTCTCCTAACAGGTTTGAAGGTTCTGGGAAGACAGTGTTCTACATTGTACAAGGAGTTCTTCCTGTTAAAAGTCTTGCCAGCGTGCTTTCTCTTTCTCATATATCCTACGCAGAAATGGTAAATGTATGGAATGATGAGAATTTTTGGTGTATGCAGCTTGCTGCCTAATGTTCCCACCCACAGTGGTAGCCAAGGAGTTTTACTTTAGATCTGAAAGGCAACAGCATAGTCCAATACCCAAATAGTGCTAATAGTTAACAGTGAACAAAGGGGAGACTGCTTCATCAGCTTGCCTGGTGTATGGAAAACAGAAGTATACCGGGAGCAGGAAGAAAGCGGTCAATGAGTAATGTTAATCAGATGAGTTCAAATGTGACTTACGCACGGAGTAGCAGTCTGCAGACTGAGGAGCAGTCTGCAATGGGGATGACGCAGTATTCGCCACATATATAAGCTGTATGTAAGCTTTTTTGTTTGTTTGTTTTGTTTTTGCTTTTTCTAGGATCCAGCGATAGCTTTCTCGAACACACGATAACAAATTTTGTTGCAATAGCCAATGGAACGGCCAACAGAGGAAATCACAGCATCAGAGCAGAAATGAAGATTTTGGTTTGTGTGAGTATAGTGCTAACCAAGCTTACGAGAGTTTAGCTGTAGCTGTAACCATTTGGAATTTCTGCTGTATCTTTGAATGAAGAAAATAAGTCTTTTCAAGACTCAAAATAAAATCACATGACTATATAAAAAAAGAAAAGCTATATTGGGAACTATTTGAAAAAAGTTGTCTAGACAATTTATTTTCTACTAACAAGTAGTTAGTCATCTTGTACTCTATAGGAGATGCACTTAATTTTATTAAAAAAAGAATGTCTTCCGGTAAAAGGTGGAATTTGGTTCTGGAATGGTTCCGTACGTACATTATAGTAGGAAAACCCCGTGTGTATTTGCTGCACCAAATCTGGCTGCAATAGTAAATTTTTCAGAGTGGAGTGTGAAGAGAGCAGCACATGCACAGTGTAGAGCATGCAAATGAGACTTTAATGTGGTCAGGTGCACTGACGGGGCCGCGTTCATCCTCGGGCCGGCGCTGTCCCGGGCCGCTCGGCAGCCCCTCAACCGAGGTGTCTCTCAGGGCGCGTCGCCGGCCCC